GCGATTTGACTGGCCCCACCCCCTGAGTTGAAAATTTTAGGGGGGAACCCACATCGCACGGACAGCATAGTCCACACGCACAAGGAGCATAAGGAGGATCACCTGCTGAAGGCGGGTGATCCGACTGGCCCTTATTTTGGATGGCCGGGGACCCACTTCACACGCATAAGGAGGATCGCCCGCCGAAGGCGGGCTATCCGACTGGTGTGTTCTTAAATTTAGCTAATCTCTCATTAGTATTCAGTTGTTGAGCGGTTACTTTACGTCTTACTATATATTCCTTTACAAAATTCTGCCTGATCCCGTCCCCAAAAGGAGGACCTTGGTGGGGTTGACGGGCCTACTAAGTTGGTATCCGGAGCCGTTTGGAACTCTCGAGATTTGCAGTGTTGGCGGGCCGCTGCTCTTCACCGCCGAGGCTTCCACCTACCTCCCCCCCCTATATCTAGCGCTCTTCACATTTTTTTCCATTTCCATGTTTTATCGGTCACCAAGCAATATAATCAGTGTTGTTCTGTTTGTGTTACTCACAGATAATCAATCATAATCATAACCAAATACGTTTACGTACATGTACATTCATTTATAAACAGTCGGCTCGCCGGCTGATGCCGCTGCGCTTCCCTGTGTGATAGAGCCCCGCTTCGCCGGGCAAGCGTAGGTCGGATACCCACTGTTGTATGTTTGAATAATCAACTAACACCTCGCTTTTCCTTGACTGTAGACATGGTCAACGCTCCTTAACCAATAGCATCATGTCTGCTACTTTCAACACTACGTTTATGGGATCAAGGTAGAGCATCGTGATGTGTGAAATGGTGGTGTCAGTACGACTCCCCTCCCCGAAATGAGGTCCCGGTACGACCCCCCCCCGTCACTTCCGACCCTAACTGTTGAAACTAACGAAAAGGACAGATACATGAGATTTGCCTGCTAGCTGACCGAGGGAGGCTGCTGGCACCGCCCGCCGCCCGCGAGGGAGGCTTCTCGGTTAGCAGGTGAACTGAAGTCCTCGGATTCATCAAATGGATACCTGTATCACCTGTATCCGACTTGTCTTCGTGTATTCCGCCTTGACGTACGCCCTTGCAGATCTTTATATATGACAGGGGACGTTGAAGAGCTTGTTTTCTGTACATTCATCTCTTCCAGGAGGTCGACGTAATTCGTGTTGATGCCAAATCTGCTCAACGCACTGAATACTGCGTTTGCTTCAACCGAATCAAAGGTTTTCCTGTGATCGAGAAATCACAAGCAGAGGAATACTCAAGTTTTTCTCTTTTTCTCCAGGAATTCTTAATTCTCTCAAGCAGAATGAATTTGGAACTCTCCACATTTTTCCGTAAGCTGACGTACATGTGAATGGTCGAGCGTCAAACGTTCTGAGCGCTTTGAATAGGGCTATTCCCCTGCTTTCAGGTGCTCAGGTCAAATACTGTCACTTCCTGGACTCTTTCCAGCCTTCATCCCTTTCACTGCATGCTCGACTTCTTCCCATATGACATTTGAGATCGCTTCTCTGACAGCATTTGAGCGAACTTTCGTGACAAACACCTCTGAGGAGTACAAATCGTTAAAAAAACTTCCTGCAGATTTCATTCATCCGTTTTCGATTTGTCGTGCGAACACCTAAGTTATCCTTGAGAGCAGGGGGAATTCGTTGCCTGAGACGGACATCTCTTTCCACTGTTTTCAGACTTACCCTCTCTTCTGCCGCTTCACGAAGCTTCTTTTGCCTATATCCCTCATAGTCTTCTTTTATCCTCTCCCTTATCATTTTACTGAGAGTCCTCCTTCGGCCTTCATACGTGCTCTCTTCTGCATCATCTGAACTGCTTCTGCTGATACACGTTGTCTTCTGCCAAGTTCTGCTGCAGTGCTGAAAGCTTTCACAGCAAGAGTTAATTTCTCCACAAGTTTGTCGTAGTCAGCGTCCATGCTTTTCTCAGTGTCCATCCGCAAGTCTGACAATGCTACCATGCCAGTAAATGCATCGGCATTAAAAGTGTGGCGTATGAGTGCCCTTGGTGAGTACAGATTTCGTTTCTCTCTTTTTCGATCTATGAGTGTCGTCGACGTACTAGACGAAGATCGGAGCCAGTTGCAGCCACACTCTCACCTATAACCGAAACGTCAGCAAACACTCTTAGCGCATCTGTCATTACATAGTCGATCTGCCTCAAATCTTCGTATCAGGGCTTCTCCACGTCCACAGACTCGAAAAAAGTGTTCAAGATTAAGAAGTGATGTTGCTCCGCAAATTCGACCAGGCGTCTTCCTCTGTCGTTCCGTACGCCTGTGCCGTATTCGCCGACAAGCTCCATATCCAATTGTGCGATAACAACTGCATTGAAGTCTCCTTGGACAATCGTGTATGTCGATTTTATCTTCAACGCCGATCTATTTCCTCGTAGTAACGTTCAGCTTCTTCATCTTCCGCTGACGCTGTGGGTGCATATACCGGCACGATTTTGAGCGTTCTTTTCCCCATCCTTTGTATCTGAATTTTCAAAACAGCAATACGTGGATCGCAATCGCAGAAAATTATATGCGCAAAGATCTTCGGTTTTACGATGAAACCGACTCCAACAGTTCTTGACAAGTTGTCGGCACCTTTTCCCAATAGGACTTCTTCGCCATCGCCCACTTGGCCGAAACCTCTTTTGCTCTACTTGTCTCGCAGGCACGACGATATCAGCTTTGATCTTTTCCGAGTGCTGCAAGTACACATCTAGGAGAGGATCCGTCGATAGGGTCATGATACTGTGGGAGGCGATGTGCAATTTGATGACATGTACGTGGTCCTTATCCTGTCCCCTCTTTACACCGAGGTGTGGGGTAGTTGTATGGAGTCGGGGCATCTCCATACGCCCATCTCGGGTCCAAATCTTCTTTTCAAAAAGTTTTTGCCGATTATTTTTGCAGCAGTATATTCGGGTTGGCAGCCCTTTTGTCCTATAGCCGCTGTTTTTGCTTGATTGTGCGCGGCTGCTTATTCGATATATTCGCAGCTAAACGCCACAACGGACGGCCGTTCCTCGATCCACGACCTGAGGACGCGCCAGTTTTCTTTGGGTGTACAACTAAGACTATTTAGTGTCCCTACCCTGCCAAACTGCGCCTTTTGATACTGGGTGTAAATCTAAACCAAATAAATGCAATAACTACAATCCCTATCCTACCCTCAAATCACTAGGTGCTTGTACAAGACATATCCGGCCATCTCAATTCTAGTATGTGGAAATATAAACTATTACATGAACAGCCTACAACTTTTTGATATAAACACGTGAATAAATACAAAATAACAGTAATTACATGCAAATATTGAATAAATTAGTCTTAGATTACCTACATTACAAAGAAAAGTTGGGACATCGACGACAGTCTGTCTATAAATCCCTGAAGAAGGAGAGCAGCCCCAGACGTGGCCAAAATTGCGATTAGAGGGCAAGATGGCGCTAGAGCATTGATTGTTGACGAGGGGAATCGCGGGGCGTTTTCCGAGCTTGATCACCTTCTGAGGAGAAGGGATCATGGGAAACGGAAGGCATCATGTACACATCATCTTTATACTGTTCTGTTTTCCACCTACCCGCAATCTGTATCTTCCCGCGTTCATGAAATATTTCGGATGGGTCACGGATCGGCTAGGGGTAAATCGCGGGTTGGTTTTAATGCTTCATACACAAAACTAACAACACCATCACAGCGCCAAGTATTTTCTCTTTCCAACAAGCTCTACAGTTCCCCTGAAGAGCCGCTGTTTGAAGGATAGTTCAGGTGGGTTATCCTCGCGCGAGGTTCTTAGCCACACAAAAGCTTGACTCGTTCTGTGAAATTGTAAGGATACTCAGTCGCGAACTTCAAATAAAATATGCCCTCAAAACAAATAGTTCCATGCCGTGCATTATGCTTCTACGCACAGGTGGTGGAAGGGTAACTTCTGATTTTAGGTGATTTCGGCCAATATGCTTCATTTGAGATGTTCTGATATGTATTATTTGGTTATCTACGTAGTTACGAGCCCACGCTAACTATTGAAATTTCTAGACAACTGATATAATATTTTGTAGTCTTTCTTACATTCGGGTCTCTGCTGCTTCCCGTCCGCTCCATCAAACTTAGCGATGAGTTTTTTGTGCTGTTTGGTGATCACCGACCCTGCGTTTACGACCCTCCCCCTTCCCCAGCGGCCAAGTACGACCGCCCTATGGGTTTCACACAAAGATGCTGTACACTATATGGAATGGTGGGAGCATTGGTAGAGTGCACAGAAAGAAAGGCCGGGAAGTATCCAGACATACGGAAGAAGGTACGCGCGACGAAGCTACGCCTGCCCGGCGAAGCTGAGTCGCATCACAGGAGGCGCGTTGGCGTCAGCCGGCAAGTGGACTGGTGTTGAATGTACACGTGTGGCTGCCTATGCAGCGAAACCTAGTGCAAAAATATGTACCTGCTCACACGCTCCGCTCCCCCTGCTCTGTGTGGACCGTAGCACACAGTAGACACGCTCAGCACTCGCTCCTCTTCTCCAACGATTTTCTACCGACATGCAAACTCTCTCTAGACTGCATCATAAAGTTGTGTAGCAAGCACTGTCCATAGCGAATAGTGCCCGCTCAATTTGAGGACGTTCTACGTATTTGGCCTCCTAACCTCATGTGGACCTCACTTTGTTCCGGTATTTATGCACTCTGTAACCAACTCGCGAATTGTCGAATTTGTTCCCATACACGCTCGCTCACAATGGGCGTGTCTCTTATTTCAATAGCCAATCTTCTGCACACCTTTGCTCATTTTTTTCCGCTCCATGACGTGCTCTGAGACGAATAACAAACTTTTAACTTCGGCCCCACCCACCTCGGCGTACGCTCCGCCTATCCCAGGTGTGCCTCTCTAACATCTTTTCCCTACGCACTGCTCAATTCCACTCCCTTTTCTCATTCTCCAAGCTGTAATGAGACTGGAGTACAATGTTCAGCCTGGGTCCAGCCCACCTTAACGCACCTTGCCACAGTCTCTAATTGTCTTTTGCTACTGATTGATCTTTTTTCGGGTTTGTAGCGTTTTCTTTGTGTGACTTCCTGTGTCTAAACATGGGAATTACAATCATAAATGTGTACGATCAGACATCAACGAAAAGTGAGAGAAACATGTGGTGGCATTATCATTTTCGTCAGAGTGAAGTTTGTCAGTAAAGGAAGAAATGACCTCTTGTGTTTCTCAACTACAGTTCTGTACTAACATGCGAGGACACTTGTATCAAGCACATTTGCTCTCTTGAGGTTCTTTTGGAAATATCTTAGAAATCGAGCCCTCAGGAAATTCGTAGGTGGCTATTCAAAAAAAATATTCCTTTTGTCTTCTGTGCTTTTGAAGAATCAACGATGACCATAGCCTGAGTTCCAGGGACACGCTCCCCGCTTACTCGATGTTCAGAGGTTTTCTTCGGAAATGGCAGTCCTGCGCGCCAGCATGGAGAATGTACCACTCTAGTGGCCCAAAAGTATGTGAGGAAGGCGCGACCTGCTCGCGACGAAGACACCGCCCTGGCCATTGCCCCATGCAGCATTCAACTGCCATAAAGCTTTCTTATTGTACGGTTGTTCCGCTACTATTCTCATTTCGAAAGGTGAGGCTGGGATGATAAGGGAAAAGAGCAGGTATCCTGATGGTACCAACAAATGAGAACTTGTCAAAGCGCGTCCTGTCTTTGTCTTATGCACGCACGAGCTCAGGTCAGCACGAGATTCGATATGGAGGTACTCGGATGTTTTGATTCAGGTTTTTTCTTCACTTTTGAATCTTTTACCGCCTGGTTATCAGTGTTCGCACAACTCACCATTCTTGAATGCGGAACAGGCCTTGGACGGCAAAATAAGAGATTCACATTTTTGGCACTATAAGTTATGAGAACCTGTGGAATGCAGCTTTCTGAAACCTTTTTCGCCATTTGTTCAGGAATTTAGAAAGTTGCTTCCGAAATCTTGCGCCTTATTTCCCTTTACACGCGAGGAGAGAGACTTTTTTGGAGACGGCAAGAGTAGATGTCAAGCAACTGAGCTGGATGATAAAAAATCGTCGATGTCTCAGTCAAATTTAACCAACCTTCATAGGCCACATAAGCACTTCGATAAGTGTGCGCTTTTCCAATTCCATTCCACCAACATCGGAAAGCGATAACTCAGTCTGTTTACCTTTTGTTGCAAACTGAACCGCCAAACGGGAGTGGGCAAGAGCTCGGCTTAAGTCGCATTCCGTGATGGGAGATGATGAAGCTGAAGTGAAGAAGATGGTGAAGGAGAGAAGAACAAGATAACTCCAGAGAATTTTCTCTCTGTTGCGACGTAACTGAAAACGAAGGAAACTTTCACCAGCTGCGCTAAATTATTCGCCCATAGCACAAGAAAATTTTCGCGAGTAACGTTTATCTGCTCTACTCTGCACCAATCAGAGTTTACACGGGCTAAACCAGGCACCAAAAACGAGTGCGCACAACTAAATAATAACCGAATGATTCAAGAAGATGCCTTCCATCAATATCAGCTCACAAGACTCACTTCATAACGTCTTCTGCTCGCTGGACAAGAGAGGGAGATCTAACAAATTTTTCTCGCCTAACAAGCGCTATAACCCGGAGAGCTCAGTGGTTTCTCCTTGCTCCACAGTTCTTATAGTGCTGTCTATTCAAGATTTGGCAAATCTGGGAGAGCTCACTCCTGGAACAGGTCAACAAATACTTTTCACTCAACTTGGCCTTCACGCTGATCACTGCTGTTTTCCTAGCAATTCTCGCATTACTACCGAATTTTGTTTCGAAATCGAGTTCCGAAACATTCTAAAAAGCAGATTATTCACCGAACCCTTGTCCTTGAGGAATCCTATCCTCAGCCTCAACGTGGCGTGGGTGTGAAACGGTCTCAAATGGCCAGTACGGAACGTACCATCCACGTTAGAGCGTGGCAACCACGCGTGGTTCCCTCATGGAAAACAGAAACAGATACGGCTTTCAACCCCATGAACTTGAGGAAACCAGTAGCAGGACTGCTCGAGAGAGGCCTCAGAGTCAATGAAGCTCCCAGGACAAAGATGACGTACTTTCTTTTCAACGTATGGACGCTTGCATCTGAGGCTCACATGAAGACCTCATGATACAAGTCTGGAAGAACAATTACGACGTCATCGGGCTAGTCAAGAGGAGAAGACAAAGCCAGCTACACGCCGTATAGGACAATGAGCAAAGCTGACCCAATGCGACAGCAGACGCGTTTGCGATTTTGGTGACCTCGTGTACACGCACTTGGACATTGATTCAAACAGAAATCTGATTCGAATAAAAACCTGAAAACTCCAGTCGGACTTTTTCGATCGAGAAGACACGGCTGAAGTTCGGTTTTAACAGGCTTCGTTGCCTACGCACCATCTAAGGCGTGGAGGTACTTATGAAGCATTTTATGTGGAAATGAAAAGTTCTACAAAGAACACCATACCATTTTCATGGCATCGTAGGCAAATTCGAGGCCAAGATTGGCCCAGAAGAACGGCTGGAAAACTATCGCTTCATCGGCTTGCTATCTGTAGTCTGAAACTCTTCACACGGGTTATCCAGCACTAGATGAAAGGCGGAACTGCGACCAAGCAGCCTTTCAAACAGGATATCGCACAACCGATCATATTCGTACGGTCAAGAAGCTCATCTAAGCATCGCGAGAGTACAGGACACCGTTAGGTCTTACGCTGATCGACTTGAAGAAGACTTCTGATCAAATTGAAACAGAAGCAGTGATTGAAGCCTTAAGCAAATAAGCGGTCCTTACCCAGTAAATGAGGATTCTTCGGGTTAAGCGGGGCTACGGTCCATCTCACCCAAACCCTTCTGCGTCGCTCTCCAGAACGTCAACAACAAAAGCGTCAACGGAATGGGAAGCAGGACCAAGCATATGTTGCGGAATTCGCAACGATCGCATGTGACCTACTGGTAGAGAGAAGGGCCGTGGAGTCTTACTTTTGTCGAGTTTATTCATGACAAATGAATTCAGTGTAAATGAAACTGCAGCATAGCAACGCGCCACGTTTCTTTGAATAGGCAGAGAAGCCAATGAGCAGGCTCAGAGGGTAATTTGCCCCATTTTAAATGCATTCCATAGATCCAAATTTCCATGTCAAAGGGGTTCTGTCTGACGTGAAAGACAAGAGCGTGTGCGTTATATTATATATATAATATATTATATCATATATATATGATATATGTATATAGATATATATATATATATTTATATTATATATATTATTATTATATTATATATATATATTATATATATATATTATATATATATACATACATATATATATTATATATATATTATATATATATTATATATATATATTATATATATATATATATATATATATATATACAGTTCTCATCATTGCGGACCCGTGGGGCGTGTCAGCAGCAGGAGTGCGCACACTGTTAAAGCCGTCGTTCTCAGCCTTTCTGTTGCAGCGCTTGTGCGACAAAAAGTGGTAGAAACACGAGTGATACAGGATGTAATGTCAGCAAGGCACTTGCCCGCTTCAAAAACTGGTGCTGACGACTTTGCCAAGCCGCACCAAACGCAGCCGCACCTGCCACGCATCACCGGTCTGCAATGATGGGGACTGTATATAATGTTGACACCACAAATTTTGATTTTGCGAAATTGCCTTTGGATATTGCGATCTGAGACCATCATTTTGAATTCCTCATAAGCGAAAGTATAGGAATGCACTACCTACGAGCACATTGTGAACTATTGAACAATGATTTATTGTTTTGAAAAAATTTCTTAATAACAAAAGTATGTGGACACTTAACAAGAAACAAAAGTATCATGGAAATTAAAACTTGGTGCTCCTCCCGCGTTCACTATTACTTCGAACATTCTGTCTGACATGCTGTGGACAAGATTTGTGATAGTGTCATCGTCGATTTCCTGCCATGCAGCCACTACCGCCTCCTTGAGGTCTCCCACGCTGTTGTACTGCCGATTGTTCATGTAAATTCGTCGAACCATAATGCCCCACAAGTTTTCGATTGGGTTGCAGTCAGGAGAACATGCCGACCAATCCATCACTTTGATACCATTGCGTTGGAGCCATTTTATAGTAGGATTTGAAACATGCACGGCGGCGTTGTCCTGCTGCAGCACATGTGTCCTGGGTCGTGGCCCACTCAGAAAAGGCAAGAGGCTGGATTCGAGCACTCCTTGATATTCCTGACTGTTCCTACGGCACGATGGGAAGGCGAGCTCTAACTTTCCGCTGGTTCTAGAACCACCCCACACCATCAAAGAGCCGCCTCCGAATTTCGCCTCGAGATCAGCAATGGATCGCGACGAAGGTCTCTCCAGTAGCGCCGATATCCATCTGGACCGTTTCATCGGTGAAGATAACCTAAGAAAGAAAAGCGCATGGGATGTTGCCTTTTTGATTTTACAAATTTCTCAAAAAACTTCACCTTGTCCCACGACGTCGCCATGTTTGCACGCGCGAAGTTCAGTCTCGCCAGCTGGAGTTGGGCAGTCAGGCGAGGAGTTTTCTTCATGGTCTCTCGTGTGATATGCTCATTTGATCGAATATAGCGCTATATCGTCATTTTTGAGACCGGTAGATTAATTGCAGCATGGACCTGTCTCACAGAAAGAGGGGAGTTTGAGGCGAACCGCGTTATTCTTCTGATGTCTTTTGCGGACAAAGATCGAGGACGCCCCGAAATATGTGCTGAATGGTAGCCATCAGGATTCTGGAGGTATTTACCAACGCACGTCGCCGAACGTCCGAGCTGCCTTCCAATTTCTCTATTTGAGTGTCCAGCAGCACTGAGAGCTCGAATCTGAGATTGTTCGTCTTCGGAGAGACTACTGCTGCGACGAGGCATGAGTACAGATTAATGGGGAACAGAGACGATAGATATGGGTTGCAGATTTGGAGTCAAACTTTGAACATTCTCAGGTGTCCACATACTTTTGTTACTAAGAAATTGTTTCAGAACAATAAATTATTGTACAGTAGTTCACAATGTATTCAGAAGTAGTGCATTCCTAGAAGTAAGAAGTAGTGCAGTGCAATTCGGTTCTACCAGAACAACTTGGAGAGGTGGGGTCAGGGGATGGTAGGGCATGTGACAAGATGTAAAGAGCAACAGCAACCCATGGTAAGCCCGGCCCACAGTGGGCGGGGCATGCGTTGAAAGTTAGCTGTCTCACTGAAAAAATTCATAATTCGGCTCCACAGCAGTCCCGAGATGGGGGAAGGTGGATTAATTTTGCCAAGGGGTTAACCCAGAATAAAAAATTCGTAAAACGCTTAAAGAGCACTCCAGAAACCGGAAAAAAGTAGTAACTGAATGTCAGCGATGGGTCAGAAGCTGAGAAATGCGAGG